AGATGTCAGCAAATTGTTGTGACGTAGATATGTGTTTCACCTTGAGCACTCCTTTTTGGACCTTGTCCCTTACATGGTGACAATCAAGTTCTATGTGTTTCGTTTGCTCGTGAAAAACCGGGTTCGAAGCAATATGTAATGCAGCTTGATTATCACAATATAGGTTGGCAGTTTGTGAATGATGTATACCCAAGTCTTTTAGAATAAATTTCAACCAAGTAATCTCACAGCATGTTGTGGCCATTGATCGGTATTCGACTTCTGTGCTAGACCGTGACACTGTAGTTTGCTTGTTGGTTTTCCAAGAAATCAATGAATTTCCAAGGAATATGCAGTACCCTGTAACAGACCTTCTTGTATCTCGACATCTAGCCCAATCCGCATCACAAAAGACATTTAATTGAATCGGAATATTTATGGGAAGAATAATTCCTTGGCCGGTTGTTTGCTTCAGATAGTGTAACACGCGATGAGCTGCTTCTAGATGTGGAACTCGTGGCTTATCGATAAATTGATTTAACACGTGAACTGAGTACGCTAAGTCAGGTCGTGAGATAGTCAAATAGATTAGTCGCCCAACAAGCCTGCGATATGAAGGAGGGTCACTAATTTCATCACCATCAAATTTGTTGAGTGATAAGTTTTGTTCCATAGGAGAAGTGACTGGTTTTGCCGCTAGATATCCCACATCTTCGAGAATTTCGAGAGCAGATTTTCTTTGCCAAAAGGACAATGCCTTTGTTGGATCGTGCAACCTCTATCCCAAGAAAAAACTTCAACTGCCCAAGGTCCTTCAACTTAAATTGATCGCTCAAAAATGACTTGGTTTCTTCAATATCTTGCAGATTGTTTCCAGCTAGGATTACATCATCCACATAAATGAGAAGGGCGGTGAATTTACCATTTTGGGATCGGACGAATAAAGAATAATCGGCCTTTGATTGTTTGAATTTGGCGCCTTTGAGAGCAGTGGGAAGTTTAATAAACCATTGACGAGAAGCTTGTTTGAGACCGTATATTAACCTCCAACGACGTTAGCAATTGAAATGGCGAGTTGACGATCCAACTTGGTGATATGACTCGGCAAAAATCTGATTGATTTGTTAAAATTTACAGAGGATTGAGTGTCATACGGAATTTTAAGATTAATTTTACCTTCCATCATCGGGACAACATATTTGATTGAGAAGGGGATGGAGATGACAGCAATGCTTAGGCGGCAATGGAAAAAAGGTGGTGGATTTTTGTTTCTACTCTTGCTAGTGAAATTGCTGCTACATTGTCGCATGTCGGTTCGTGCGGCAGTGTTTCAGAAGAGACGGTGAATTGGTGATATTTTCATTATTTAAATTAAAAAAATGTCCGTTCATTTCTCAGCTTTAAAATACATCAAAAGTATAACACTTGTAAATATGAATCTTGTAAGAAATATGTGGGATAATTATACTTTTTGTCCTTATATTTTACCACTAAAACGATTTTGGTCCGTAAATCATCACCCCCACGAAATTAGTCCATAAACTCACCACTTTTACACAATATTGGTTCAACCGTCAAATTTTATGGTTAAGTTGGACGGATTTGTCACGTGCGGCGCACGTATCGTCCATTTGGTTGTTAGTTGTCTAGTTGGACAACACCGAGTCCACCTCATATTATTCCCTCCTCTATATCTAACCCCATTTCCTAATCCCATCAACCCTACGAAAATTAGATCCCCAATTTTTCAATCACTCTCTCAAGTTCCCAATTTCTCAATCCCGTATATCAAATTTTCGTATTGCTCTCTCAATGGGTTTTATGCTACGTCAAATACATTGAGGTGAAATCAACACCGCATCTAAACAAATTATCAAAATAAAAAAATTGTTCAAAACGTTTGTAATTGGTTACTCCACA